GAGAGACCGAGAGAGACCGAGAAAGGTAGAAGAGCTGCCAGCACCTCTGTGACATGTTGACAGTCCTCAGCCTTTGACTGCGGAGTCTTCCATCTGTTCGACAAAAATGTGTCAACCCTCCAGACGTCAAGCTGATGTCAAGAGTAAATTTGTCTCATTTCACAGTTCTACCAACCTCCCTCCCCTTCCCTTCACAATTCTCCACTGCCCTCAGAAGACATGGCATTAATTAAAATAGTTCGCCCACAGACAGAGGACTAACAGATCAAAGGAGTCAGTGTGGTAGAAGCTTCCTGTAACTGAAAGCTAGGTGGAGCCATGTGGCCATGTATCACAGTACTATAGCCCTGGTTATTGATAATAGTACATGCATATGAGGTACAGCATATCTCACATAGGTGGTCTACCACAGTATATACCCTCTGGCTGCTCTACAAAGATAGTTCATCTTCCAAGGGCCCCTACAAGACACACACACCTTACATCTGTAGCAGTATAATAATGTCAGCCATAAATGGTTAGTTCTTCTGGAAATAGATGTGCTGCACATTTGATGCTGATAGTTTACGAATGGAGAGCTATGGAGAGCTATGGAGAGCTATGGAAGGCATGGAGCGCTATGGAGAGCTATGAGAGCTATGGAGAGCTATCGAAGGTATGGAGAGATATGGAGAGCTATGGAGAGATATGGAGAGCTATGGAAGGTATGGAGAGCTATGGAGAGCTATGGAGAGCTATGGAAGGTATGGAGAGCTATGGAGAGCTATCGAAGGTATGGAGAGCTATGGAGAGCTATTGAAGGTATGGAGAGCTATGGAGAGCTATGGAGAGCTATGGAAGGTATGGAGAGCTATGGAGAGCTATGGAAGGTATGGAAAGCTATGGAGAGCTATGGAAGGTATGGAGCACTATGGAGAGCTATGGAGAGCTATGGAGAGCTATGGAGCGCTATGGAAGGTATGGAGCGCTATGGAGAGCTATGGAGAGCTATGGAGAGCTATGGAGAGCTATGGAGAGCTATGGAAGGTATGGAGCGCTATGGAGAGCTATGGAGAGTTATGTAGAGCTATGGAGAGCTATGGAAGGTATGGAGAGCTATAGAGAGCTATGGAAGGTATGGAGCGCTATGGAGAGCTATGGAGAGCTATGGAGATCTATGGAAGGTATGGAGCGCTATGGAGAGCTATGGAGAGTTATGTAGAGCTATGGAGAGCTATGGAAGGTATGGAGAGCTATGGAGAGCTATGGAAGCTATGGATTGTATGGAGAGCTATGTATAGCTATGGAGAGCTATGGAAGGTATGGAGAGCTATGGAAGCTATGGATGCTATGGAGAGCTATGTAGAAGTATGGAGAGCTATGGAGAGCTATGTAGAAGTATGGAGAGCTATGGAGAGCTATGTAGAAGTATGGAGAGCTATGGAGAGGAATGGAGCGCTATGGAAGCTATGTAGAAATATGGATAGCTATGGAGAGCTATGGAGAGCTATGGAGAGCTATGGAAGCTATGGAGAGCTATGGACGCTATGGAGATCTATGGAGAAGTATGGAGAGCTATGGAGAGCTATGGAGAGCTATGGAGAGCTATGGAAGCTATGGAGAGCTATGGACGCTATGGAGATCTATGGAGAAGTATGGAGAGCTATGGAGAGCTATGGAGAGGTATGGAGAGCTATGGAGAGCTATGGACGCTATGGAGAGCTATGGAAGGTATGAAGTGAATAGAAAAGTGGGGTAAAAGAGGGATGGCCTTGGTATTCTTCTTCTCCTGAAGATCATGATGGATCATCAACGACAGTTTGCAATAGCAAGTTGAGTTGAGGCCAGGGTGAGCATTCCTTAGCACTGTTAAACATGTCTCTATAAACACACGCACACACACATACACACACACACACACACACAAACACACACACACACACACACACACACACATACATACACACACACACACACACATGCATACACACACACATAACATACACACACACACACATACATACACACACGCACGTCTTACAAGCTTTGCTGACCTCTCATAGTTGCGGTCAGTGGTGACATTCCAGCTTCTCCGTGTTTGTGTTATATTTACATTTTGACTCAGAGTTACACCATGTTGAGGTCAGTGACCAACCCTGTAGTCTACACTGACTGCTTATATTGCTATGTACACCGCATTATCTGAAGTACTTTGGTTGAGGTTACAGTAATACTGTGTCACAATTATACATTCATGTAAATGGATGTTGACTCTCTAGCTACTGAAAACAAAGCATTTTACTCTAACATATATTTGAGTTGAACTTGTGTATTTATAGTCAACAAACCATTATTAGATAAGCAATATTACTAGCATACAAACTAGGTAATCAATACCAGTGTTTTGAAACCAAGACATACAGTTAAATCTGTGTTGATTGTGTTTTATCCTCATGCACTCACCACTAATTGGGTATATTAAACAATGTGAGAAGATGGCGACCCTCTGTGGTTATAGTGTGTAGTTGAAGCATGTAAAGAATGATGTTAGTGTGAGTGCTTACACGTGAAGTGGGCCCCCTGAAGTCTGACCTTTTTTGTCCACGTGATGGCAGTATATACATATTTTTCAGAGAGGCCTCATTGATAAAAACATAATTACAATTATCTGCACTAAAGAGAGCTGACTTTTCACTAAAACAAAATAATCAACTTATTGTGACCCAAAAAGAATTTCACCAACATTCATCTCAAATGCATTATCACCACAAACATGCACCCTAGTAAATGTTAATGATTTACCTGAATTCAGCAATTGAGTCAGTCATTGCAAACTAAATATTATTTGTAGTGGAGTAAAAAGCAAATGTGTGACATCAATAACATGGAGCTATACTGGCCAGAAGGAGGTATTGAGACAAGTTAATCTGATCTGCATTTAAACCTTCTCCACCAACATCCCATCCATTATCGTAGTTCATTCTGTGACAGTCTAAATTCTCTCTGTTTTTGCACAATTAATTATATCTTGCTTCTCAGTAGCAACAACAAAAACCATAATTCATCACATATTAGGACTCTATATATGTTATACATACAGTACCATTCAAAGGTTTGGACACACCTACTCATTCATGGGTTTTTCTTTATTTTTACTATTTTCTACATTGTAAAATAATAGTGAAGACATCAAAACTATGAAATAACACATATAGAATCATGTTGTAACCAAAAACGTGTTAAACAAATAAAAATATATTTTTGATTTTAGATTCTTCAAAGTAGCCACCCTTTGCCTTGATGACAGCTTTGCATACTCTTGGCATTCTCTCAACCAGCTTCATGAGGTAGTCACCTGGAATGCATTTCAATTAACAGGTGTGCCTTGTTAAAAGTGAATTTGTGGAATTTCTTTCCTTCTAAATGCGTTTGAGCCAATCAGTTGTGTTGTGACAAGGTAGGGGTGGTATACAGAAGATAGCCCTATTTGGTAAAAGACCAAGTATATATTACGTCAAGAACAGCTCAAATAAGCAAAGAGAAATGTCAGTTCATCATTACTTTAAGACATGAAGGTCAGTCAATCCAGAAAATGTCAAGAACTTTGAATGTTTCTTCAAGTGCAGTCGCAAAAACCATCAAGCGCAATGATGAAACTGGCTCTCATGAGGACCGCCACAGGAAAGGAAGACCCAGAGTTACCTCTGCTGCAGAGGATAACTTCATTAGAGTTAACTGCACCTCAGATTGCAGCCCAAATAAATGTTTCACAGACTTCAAGTAGCAGACACATCTCAACATCAACTGTTCAGAGGAGACTGTGTGAATAAGGCCTTCATGTTCGAATTGCTGCAAAGAAACCACTACTAAAGGACACCAATAATAAGAAGAGACTTGCTTGGGCCAAGAAACACGAGCAATGGACATTAGGCCGGTGGAAATCTGTCCTTTGGTCTGATGAGTCCAAATGTGAGATTTTGGTTCCAAACGCCGTGTCTTTGTGAGATGCAGAGTAGGTGAACAGATGATCTCTGCATGTGTGGTCCCCACCATGAAGCATGGAGGAGGAGGTGTGATGGTGTGGGGGTGCTTTGCTGATGACACTGTCTGTGATTTATTTAGAATTCAAGGCACACTTAACCAGCATGGCTACCACAGCATTCTGCAGCGATAGGCCATCCCATCTGGTTTGTGCTTAGTGGGACTATCATTTGTTTTTCAACAGAACAATGACCCAACACACCTCCAGGCTGTGTATGGGCTATTTGACATAGAAGGAGAGTGATGGAGTGCTGCATCAGATGACCTGGCCTCCACAATCCCCCGACCTCAACCCAATTGAGATGGCTGAGGATGAGTTGGACCGCAGAGTGAAGGAGAATCAGCAAACAAGTGGTCAGCATATGTGGGAACTCCTTCAAGACTGTTGGAAAAGCATTCCAGTTGAATCTGGTTGAGAGAATGCCAAGAGTGTGCAAAGCTGTCATCAAGGCAAAGGGTGGCTACTTTGAGGAATCTAAAATCTAAAATATGTTTTGATTTGTTTAACACTTTTTTGGTTACTACATGATTCCATGTGTTATTTCATAGTTTTGATGTTTTCACTATTATTCTACAATGTAGACAATAGTTATGTTTTTTTAAGAAAACCCCTGAAATGAGTGGGTGTGTCCAAACTTTGACTGGTACTGTATATGTTTTAATTTACATATGTTCATTTCAAAATTTGCAGATATGAACAGTGAAATCCTGTGAGTGAGACATCATACAAACATACAGTAAGTTTGGGGGGTTGAAATGACATGGAAGCAACATTGATTCAACCAGTTTTTTGCCCAGTGGGAAGAGTCTGAAGTTATTCTTCTGGTTATCATTTGACGGTGCAGACTGATGCCTGTCATGATGTCTTTCAACAGACAGTGTTTAAAATTACACTTTTGTGAGAGAGATTCCAATAGCTAGTTATAATCCTATCATGGTGTGTCCATCCTCAAGTCACCATAGACGAAGTAGGTCAGGTCTCATAAATGTGGGGTAAAGTAGGACGGCTGAAGATGATAACCATTGGGTGGGAAGGGATGTAACAGCCCTCCAGTTGACGACAGATGAACCGCACCAGCATTATGGAAGATCATATTCCCAGAGCTGAAGGACGGGAAAGTTTGGTAACTGGCTGAACTCGACACACAAGTCACAGGACATGGGTTGACGCTGACCAAAGAGGTCGACCCGGGCGTCATCGTGCTGTCCGCGCCCGGGTTCTGTTTCTTCCACTTGGTTCTTCTGTTCTGGAACCAGATCTTGACCTGCGTCTCGGTGAGGCTGAGGGACAGAGCCAGGTTCAGTCTGTCACACACGGACAGGTATTTCGTAGAGCGGAATTTGTTCTCCAGAGCCACCAGTTGTTCGTATGTGAAGGCAGTCCTAGCGCGCCGCGGCTTGACGCAATCGTGATCCGAGCGCCGCCGTTTGTGAGGCGTGGGGTCATGTGTGGCTGAAGTTTCGGTGCTGCTGCTGATGCAGTCCCCACCCCCCTCTTCTTGCTCCTCTGGCTCAGTTGTTGAGTGTACTGAAAGTGGGTTGTTGACGGCTGCCTGGTGCTTGAGATCTGCGCTACTTGATTGGTCAGTCCCTGTGTCTTCGCCTGTGAACACAAACATGAACGTAAATGGGCTTTCCAAAAGCTAAACAAATTATCAGCAAATTAGATAATGTTTTTGATTTCATACATAGGGAAATAAGATCTCAAAAGGATTCCTGTTGTTGAGGATGCTCATACATGCGCAAAACTGTAGGCCCTAAGTGGTGCTGAATGGACAGCGCCACCCGACCGCACCTCTTCTCTAGATACATAACTTCCACCTAAACGACGTTTACAGTAGCCTATTTGAGATTAGTCTCCCTAGGCAGACGCGTTGCCCTCTACAACAATGTTCTACGTCTGGGACTACCGAGACTAATTTGAGATCCATGCGTAAAGTAAGAATGAGGAAAAATTAAGGATTATCCTTGAAATTGAAAAGATAAGTATATTTAAGACTCTGTCTGAAATCGCTAAAACCAATAAATAGTCTAAAATAGGCATACCTAATAGCATAACTGTAAAATGTGTTTGATTAAAATCAGGGAGTTGTGCGAGTGGAACGAAACGAGGGTTAAGAAGGGTACTATGGGTGGCTTAGCCTCTAATCCCTAAATAATGTATTAATCACAAATCGCCTCAAATGTCATGTTGTGGGAAAGAAATCCAGTCCAAATTCAGCTCCACCATCTACCTATGACGTGCTAATGGAGTTTCATATTTATTGGTGGATCGATAAATCTAATCTATTTAAAGGGAAGTTTTAATCGAACCATATTTAGGATCAGACAGGGATGTGGTTTGAAGTTTGTACCTGCAAGGTGCTGGAGGGAGATATGCAGGATGCAGTAATGGGATATCGATCAAAGCGAACGGAGGCATCCTCAATGGGACGATTTAAACAATTATCTGGCCAGCCTGTCCCAATGCCAATCACACACCCGGGCTGTGGGAGAAACCCTTTGTGGGTTTCTTAAAAGGAAACGTAGCCTTGGAAATTAAGGGAAGGTCATATAGAGATGACAACATTTTATCTGATCAAAATAGCCACACTCTTAGTTGGTCAGTGAACCAAGAAGCTATAGGTGTTTCTCATATTGGCTATTAGGCCTACGTCGTATTAAATTAACTATGGACAGATTATATAATTTATTGTATCCCTATGTTGAAAATAAATTATATGGACATTATTCATGTAATAATGCGAAACAAATATATTATGCTGAACTGAACGAATAAAACACGCGACATGGGCTACATACGTTTGTTGATGCTCTATTTTCCCGTAAAACAAAACAAAAAACTGCGGGTATACCTGTACCAAAAATAAATTATTGTCTGTAGTTTTGTGAGATCTTTACCTGCTTCCATGCGCACAAGTGGCGGCTCTCCATCTGCGCCAGCGTCCTCTTCAAAACGTGCCACTCGTACGTTCTGCGAAGGAAACTTATCCTTTGTTGGGAAAAGTTCGCATATCTTCTTGCTATTAAATTTATTTGGGTCCATTATATCAATTATAGAAAAAGAAATCCTATGACTGGATGTCATTTTCACGTTAGACTCATTGGAATCCAACATCCTTTAAAAGCCCTCCAAATTGATCAGTGATAAGAGGTGAGAACTCTCGCGCGCTATTACGCATCTGGGTAGTCACTTGGCATACTTTCTGCGCTTCTTTAAACGTTGGTTAAACTGGTCAACTGTCTGTCCCATAAAGTGCACCTGCCCTCAGATTTCTCTGTCAGTCTGTCCAAGTGACGGTCGATGAGTGAGGAGAGTGAGATCTTTAAAGCTTCTCCTCTCTGCTCGATTCGAAGACGCGGTTTCTGGCTCCCACGTGACAGCCACATTAGCCTTTCACAAGACCTCCTGTAATTGACTTAAATATTTTCGTCGATAATCACCTATATCATTAAATCCAATGATATCCGACCTGTTACCGAAAGTGAATAGGTGACAGGTTGCTAAATAAAACTGTCTGTGCAAACCTGCTGCCATGGAAATAATAGGTGATACAATCCTCTATTTCCCCTCCATGATTCGTTTTTTAAATATTATTATTATTATCTGTAAAAAGTTTGAATGTTTCAAGTTTAGAAAATGTTGGTTTGTCATTTTTGACATGTAGGCTAATTTAGCTGTTGCTGTCTTCAAAAGGGACACCAAGAAAGCCTTGTTAGTTCACACAACAAAAAATAAAGCGAGACTTCAGTCAGCATTACGCATCTATTGTGTTTGTTTGGGATAGATAGTATTTAGTTTGGTTTGTTTGGGATAGATTTCCAATACTAATAAATGTGGATAACACAACAGTCCTGTAGTCTAATTATATCTTAAAGTGGATGATTTATTATACAAATTAACTATGATGCACATGATTACAGGCAGGTCTGCCCCACAATGAGCAAACGCATCTACAGTATGTTGTCTGATGATTTTCTCTCGTTTTGTGATTTATTTATGTTCACAATCAATCGATTGGTACTAAAATCTTTGGGATTAGAATTGAATGCACAGTGACATATGATTGTTTTAAACATGGAAGCCTAGCGATGGCCGAAACGGTGAAACCAGCACTGGATCAATATTCCCAGCGGGTGTCAGACACTGATAAAACTGGCCATCATTACAGAACGTCGTTTTTCGGTCAGGAGGCCAAGCCATAACTAAACTGTAGCCTATTAGAAGTATTATTTGTTGATTGACCCTTTTAGATCATTTTATTTAATGATATTGAAATTCATTTTTAGTAAACAATGGTCAAATACTGTGCATGCGTGTTTAGGCTATGTGCACCATGCAAGTGTAGGTATATTATGTAAAGTAGGGCCTATTGTCAAGATCCTGTAAAACTACAGCACCACCTAAGACACCACTCTGGGTAGATGGAGGCTAAAGTGACCTATTGGCACAGAGAATGAGAGGAGCGTGGAGATAAAGCAGACTGGAAGACTGCTGGTGAAAGTGATGTCCTAACCATGTTGGTGCAACAGTTAAAGATGGACAGAAGATGGGCAGAGGAAGAGAGAGGCTGTTTTGGTGCAACCTATTTCTTTCAACATGCCACTTACTTTTCCCCTTTGGTTAAACCTAATAAATAACATAAATACAAACTAAGATTTTATATTTTTCCAATTATATTTTTTTATTAGGAGGTATCTACAGTATCCACATTTCTTTAACTGGATAACAAGCATTTAGATCAAATTCCTGTAAATCAAGATATTAAGTTTGTTCCATAAGATTAAGTAATGACTCCAAACACTTTCTTTAAATACGATTTTCACATTTACTGGCTACAATATTGTAACCAAGTGACTATCTCAACAATGACCTTACCATGCTCTTTAATATCACATGCACTTACACAAGTTTCATTTAGAATTCAGTGCTGGCAGTTGGCTCCTATAATAATGGAATCAAATAAAAAAACGGAACAAATTAACTGGAATGACATTCACTCTCAAGGGTGGCCAAAAATGACAAACTGAAAGCCACGCCCCCAATAAGCCATGCCCCAACTCTTCTGATAGGCTGCCGTCGCTATATTTCCCCCACCACTATGCTATGCGCATGTGCATGAGTAGAATGATAGATCATTCTTCTTCTTTTGGATGCTGAAGATCTGCTGCACTTGAGTATTCTGAGGTAGTTTTACTTACAAGCTCTGGAGCTAGTTATGACAGTCTTTACTATAACTTACTAAAAGTGAACATTGTATCTTGTATTGTACTTTTGATTGACTATTGATTGGACTGCTGTATTTGTATTACTCTGATTATTATATTATATATTTTATAAAGTATACATTTTGTGTAAGCTTTTCCTTTCTCAGCCCACAAAAAAAACAAAAAGAAGTTAACCCAAACTAAGAAGAAGTTATTGTTAACCCTGGCTCGAGGGGCAGTAATGTCTCTGTTAAAGAGTGAGTGCATGGGATAATTTGAAATAAAAATTCCATAGCTCCCGCTTCCGGGTAGGAATATCAAGTGACAGTCTCTACCACAGAAACTTACGTGAGGTCCTACCTGTGCACTCTTATGGGTGAAGGAGGCAAACAAAATCGCTATTACACTTTGGTTCCTGTCTATGTTAGTGAGGAAGGGGACCAAAATCAAGTTTACACACTGTTAAACGATCTCCCAAATTATTCCCCATCTACAATTTCCTCCCTGGTCCTGTGTAGTTTATGACTATGGGTGATTACTATTCTACATGGTTGCTTTGTTCCTGCCAGTCGTAGTCTGGTGGACTGACATGATCCATAGTAGTTACATAGTCAAACATTTGTTAAAGCAGCCCCCTCCTGAGGATCCTGTTTGTCTACATTAGCATGTGTATGGCAATGGCACAGCTACAGTTACTGTGCGGGCTCCATATGAATAGAGCACTGCACGCTGTAGGTTTACAACTTCCTGCGAGCAGGCCCAGTGGCCGGACATCTGTTTGCATGAGGCCAGTACACAAAGCACGGCCCCGGGGACAAAGAAGGACCAGGTAGACATCAGAGGACGGTGACAGCAGCTGGCCTTGTATGAGTCCATAGTGGGCAGAGCCAGAGATCAGAGAGGGACCCCAGACCCAGCCAGAGCTCCTGGGGTGCCAGGGGGGCACACTTCCATCCAGGATCCCCCGCCAGGGCCAATAAAGTCATTAACTCACCAGGGAGGCTACCCCAGTCTGCTAAATGTCGGATAATTTGTCTAATGGCAGGAGTCACATTGTGAGGGTGGCTTCCATTGACAGGCCACTGTGTCTCTTTCGTCCTCCTGTCTCCCCTGTCCCACTGTAAAGTGCAGAACACAAAGAGGATCAGTGAGTGTTAGGTACTGTCAGAGCTACTTGTTACCTCCACTGTGCTTCCTAAACCCTAAAGCACTTATGGTCTCCTCCATGGCTTCACTTCCAGACTCTCAGGAATGTTTAGTCATGTTGCTAAGTACAGCCAAGAAGACCGAAACGCAAGAAGTGAATGATTATGTATGATTTATTATGGCTTTTAGTAAAGTTGAAATTATACAGATGGATACAATGATATAAACACTTGCTTTGTAAATTCAAACAAAGTTCAATGATTTCTTATTCTCCCAATACTGCAACCTAGCATAATGCCCAAGTTACTGGCTCCTTTTCTGATGTGAATTCAAGGCAAAATCCCATCCCCAGCGAACCAAACCGAGCCAAGCCATGCGCCATACAACTACCACCTCCCCTCACGCTGTGTCTGTGTTGGCTGCAGTGAAACCGTTGATCGATAGAAAACAACCCCCTCTATTAGCACAGGTTTGGTTATGCCTAGTATCCTCACCACACCTATGGGAACCACCAGACATGGAGTTGGAGACCTCTGCTTTAGTTTGACTGTGATTACAAGGTCAGTGGCATTGCCCAGTAATTGTCCTAACGGCCTCTGTACCTGTTTGGGGCCGTAATGAGAGTTTTTCATTACGGCCGGGACGGGTGAGTGCCTCTGGCAGATGTTGACAGGCAGCAGATGTGTAAAGTTGGGGGTGATTTGTAAAGGGGTTGACTCCATCGTCGGAGGGGACGGAGGGCGACGTGGGGGGGTGGAGGGGGGTGGGAGGGGTAAATTACACTGAGGGACACTGTCAGTCATGGGGCGCTCCTGTCATGATGAGGTAAAGGTCAGTTCAACACGTCCTGTTCACCAATAACAACATACACTGGATGTACAAAACATTAAGAACTGCTCTTTCCATGACATAGACTGACCAGGTGAATCCAGGTGAAAGCTATGATCCCTTATTGATGTCACTTGTTAAATCCACTTCAATCAGTGTAGATGAAGAGGAGGAGACAGGTTAAATATGGTTTTTTGAGCCTTGAGGCAATTGAGACATGGATTGTGTATGTGTGCCATTCAGAGGGTGAATGGGCAAGAGTGCCTTTGAACGGGATATAGTAGTAGGTGCCAGGCGCACCGGATTGAGTGTGTCAAGACCTGCAATGCTGCTGGATTTTTCATGCTCAACAGTTTCCCGTGTGTATCAAGAATGGTCCACCACCCAAAGGATATCCAGCCAACTTGACACAACTGTGGGAAGCATTGGAGTCAACATGGGCCAGTGTCCCTGTGGAACACTTTCGACACCTTGTAAATTCCATGCCCCTGACGAATTGAGCCTGCTCTGAGGGCAAAAAGGGGTGCAACTCAATAGTAGGACGGTGTTCCTAATGTTTTGTAAACTCAGTGTATATGCCATAAGGGGACAAAAAGAGAGAGAAAAACGTACACTTATTTTACTAAATACTCATAGAAGAATCTTCAGTAGATAGGCAACAGAGTAGATACAACAAACAACCTAGCCTACAGTGCAATGGACCAGGGTCTAGAGACCCCCACAGACTAGACTAGAACCAGATAAAGTACACTCAAAGGGTTATCCTATGGGGACAGCCAAAGAACCCTTTTAGGTTCTAGATATAACCTTTTTTTCCAAGAGTGTACTTTACCTGGTTCTAGTCTAGGGACTTTAATGCAGGGGAAATTAAATCAGTTTTACCTCATTTCTACCAGCATGTTAAATGTGCAACCAGAGGCAAAAAAAACTCTAGAC